GAATGCTTTTTTCTGCGTTTAAACCTTTTCTTGAGTTCTTATAATAGTGGTCTCATACAATATCTGTCCTTTTGTGACTGATTAATTTCACTCAGCATAATGTCCTCCAGATTCACCCATGTAGTGAGATGTTTCTCGGATTTGTCATCGTTCTTTATCATTGCATTGTATTCCATTGTGTGTATGTACCATAATTTGTTTATCCATTCGTCTGTTGATGGGCACCTAGGTTGTTTCTATCTTTTTGCTATTGTGAACAATGCTGCAATGAAAATCGGCGTGCATAATGTCTATTTATATGACAGCCCTTATTTCTATACAACATATTCCTAGAACTGGAGAGGTAGATAATTTTAATGTGTAATAAAGTGTTTGATGAAGATGACAGGAGAAAGAGTTTTTAAAATGAGATAAAACCTCAGATTTTTGTTCTTCACAAAGAATAAGTAGATGCTGTATCTGTACAATAAAAATAATCTAATTGCATGGCCATGGAGGAGTATGCTGTTTGAAATAAGAAATGAAATTGTCCCAGAGGATTTTATCTTAACAATAAATACATGCTCTGGTTTATCATTCATAAACTTCATTAGGTTTATTGTGAGATAGTCATGGCAAGGCACACAAGTAAGACCTCAAGACATTCATTTAGCATTGAAGAATCAGAATTAACAATTACAATGTTAGTTTAAATGTTAAGAGTCCAAATCTTTAGACTTCAGGCTTTTACCTTTCACCAGTGGTCTCAGGAGGATACTTGACTACTCCTCTAACTCAGATGAGGTCTCCATGTCTAAAGTCCGAGGTCAGTTGTAGAGAGTAGTACCTCAGTAACCTTCTCAGTCTTCAGAATGAGAGTCAGAGAGAACTTTTGCTCTGTCTTCATCTCCAAAAATGAGCAGAAATCCATGGGTTTACATCCCCTGTGTGCTGTCATGTTCAACTATAATTGGTATGTTTCATTGCCAGTTAAGGGTATTGTTGTATGACATGCTGAGGTACTTATTTACTACATGTTTCAAGGTCAAGTTAATTAATTAAAAATTATGGGAATTGTTTAGTGACACATTTATGTTTTGTTAATTTATAGATATTTGATTAATGTTACATTCTGTTACCACAGACTGCAGGTGCACAGTACAATTTTCAGAAAGTTATTTACAACCTACTTCGCATACTTCTATTAGGTATTTTCGGGGTTAGAACAACTTTCTAACACTTCCAGTTAATGGTTACAGAGTATTATAGAAAGATATGTTTCTAAGTTCAGAAATTCGCTATTTAGAACTTCACATTGTAAATGACTTATCCTTGGGTGTTTAAAAGCATTATAAAAACATCATGACAGTGTAAAAAGCATTATAGAAGCAGGTATAATAGTGACTTACACATCATGTTTTAAGAACATTACAGAATCCGATGTAATTTGAGAGCATACAGAAAGCATACAAAACAGTAATGAAGGTAAAGTGAATACTGCAGAAAACGGAGTTAATTAAATATCAGTTTAAAAGATTCCTAGAAGTAACATTACAAAATCAAAAGGTATGAATATTTTTAAGATTTTTGTTTCAAAATTTCTATAAAGAATACTTGAACTGTGTGAGGAACTATTAAATATTGAGGTGCCGGTAGTCTAATTGAGGACATTAAGGAACTGAAATTAAGCACTCCATTCAGAAATTAAACTGAGGATTTTACTTCTACACTACTGATAACCCTTAGGCTTCTGTTAAAGTTGCGCTTTGAAAAACAAAGCTCAGTTGTGTTTGTTAAGAGTGTTCCTACAGCTGGCCTTAGAAAAAGCTTCATTGAGTTGTTACAATAAATTAGAGCCTATAGATAAACATGTTGTTTTAACTACCTTAAAGGGGTTGCCCAGTAAGTCCCTAGGCATTACCTCTTTTCTCTTAGCTAAATAAACAGTTTCTTTACACTTTCATAACTAATGGTCAGTGCTGTAGCCAAAAATTCCAATTCAGTTAGCCCAGCTGCAATTATATCACTAACTTCCATACGACTAAACTTTCATGTTAAAATTCTTTATACTTTTCGTTTAAAAACTATTGCCTTAATTAAAATATATCAAGTATGAGAGATTTGTGTTAGGCTAGAAACTGATGTGAAGAAAGTTTCATAGTTAATTGCCACCCTTGTGAATCTCGCCTCCTTTCCTGCCATTGTTTTGATGTGAAGTTGTTAACTGTACTAACTCTACTTGTTAAATATTCTTTGTTTTGCCTGAAAGGCAGAGCATGTCACTCAAGTAACTCTCTCATTTATGTGTCCAGTTACTACCCCATCCCTCAAAGGAAACCACTCTCCTGACTTCTAGAATCATAGATTAGTTTTGCCTGGATTCAAATGTTATAGAATGAATCATACAATCATAAATGTATATGTCTGCATTTTTCCACTTAACATTATGTTTCTGAGATTCATATATGTTTTCACGTAGTTGGAGTTTATTCATTCTTACTGATGTATAGCATTCCCTTATAAGAAATTCCACAATTTACTTATTTATTTTGTGGCTGATGGACATCATATTGTTTCTATTTGTTGACTCTGATGAATGATGTTGCCCTGAAATATTATGATTGTAAATTTACTAAACTTTTCCTTTTTTATTTTTTCCACTGCTTTTATGCTTCAATTGTTTTTCTTCATTTGGGAATTATAAACAGACCCATCTATATTTGTTATACTTATTAATTATTTTATCATAAATATTTAAGAAACAAATATAGGATTTGTTTGGTGAATGATATGTTATGGTTGGTTTTGTGTGTGTGTGTGTGTGTGAATGATGTGCTTTATATCGAAACAGTTAAATAATTGAAACATTAAATTAATTAATCCATCCTTTATCCACTGATCTTTAGTGCAAACTTTGTGATCTAGTATTATCATAAAGATGCATGAGTTGTTTTTTCTACTTACTATAACACACATTCACATAGATTTTGAAAGTAAATAATTAAATATTATCTAGAGAATAAAATAATATTTAACATTTAACTGTTCCTAAATTTAATCATAGATAGAAAAAATGCACACTACACAAAAATTTCTCAAAACATTTATAATTCCTGCTGCATGCTTTCTATTTTTTCTATTAGCATGCAGGCTGCCCATGTAGCTATCTCCGAAATCATTTAAATGTTTTGAAATTTAAAAGAATTCAACAAACTCGTCCCAAGTAATCTAAATTTCCTGATATTTGTCATTAATAAAGGTATTAAATTAATAAAGAAGTTTTATAATTAATTACATGAGAAGCACAAATTAATATGTAGATTAAAATACGTTTTCTGGTTAGTAGATTTTTATATGATTATTTTGGACTGTAATTAGAATTCTACTCCTCATTTATATCCCAGACAAACTTCAAGGGAAAATCTTTCATCTTCCTTTGGAAGATCCTGTCAAACATTTCACTCTGCTCCACAGTGAAGTGACGCTTCCAGTCTCCAATTGTACCTAGTGGGATAAGCAAAGAAACAGCACCTCCATGAGGAAGTGGCACTATAAAGGCAAAGGTTACCCCCAACCCACTTTAATCTCTTCTCTAAGTCAAGCTAAATACTTCTGTTAGTTCTCATGGGGTTTGACACCTCATCTTTCCTTATACAGGAATGAGTTAAGGAACTCACTTGGGAATGCAATAACACAGTAAACACAGTTAATAGTGCACTTCCCTATCATTAGACTTCCGTTAACTACTACCAATGGTTCCTAATCTTTCTTTAGAAGAAAAAAAACCTCTGAAATATATGAAGAGATAGGATTTTTAAAAATTTACTATGCGTCAAACACCATACTAGACAGACTACATACATCATATAATTCTTAAGACAGCAATACAATGTAGATATTTCTTCATCCTTAAAATAGAAAAAGGAAGCTCCAAGATTTTCAAATAATGAAATCAAGGTCACAGAGGTTACCAGAGCTGTCATTGCTTCAGCTTTACTTGGTAGAAGTTTGAAGCCATCCTTAAGCCAATTGTTTTAAATGAAAACTTAGTAATTTACCATCTTCAGCTATCAGATTTATTTTTGTACACATTGGCATTTACAGTAAATAGAAAACTCTCATGAGTATGAAAATTGTATCATATCAGATTTAGTTGAGCAATGAGAAGTGAGTTAATGATACATGGAGCGAAAGAAGAAACTTTGCTAACAAATTTTAAAGACTGGCATTACATGGCCTAATATTTATTAGACAGGTTCAAGTGTCAAACTCTGTACTAAAACAGTATTAGGGTTTCTGAGACACACTTAGGGCCATTTTTAGTTAGCACCTTAGATTGTTTCTAGAGCTCAGATGCCAGTATCACTTGGAAAGGCATGTTGGAAATACCCCTTAGTGTCCCTATGGGCCAAGGACTCAAAAGAACTCTCAACCCGTTTGCTGCTATAAACCCCTGGGCATCACCTTTGCGTAGGAAATGTCCCTCATCTGTTCTTATCACTAGTTTGCTTTTTAGAATTTGAACATAATTAGCTTGTGGATCAGACTTCATGTTCTGAAAAGTAGCTTGTCTCACAACATCATCCACGGCCTCATCACTCAGTTCTTTCTCAAGAAAACGGCATATTTTAAGCACAGAACTTCTGAGATCCTAAAGGAATTGTGGTTATGAAAAATTAGTCAGCTTCTGCATGAGTTATAGAATAACATTTTTATCACATTTTAGAAAAGTGACGGTGCTTGGGATGATTCTAAGTCTAAAATTTGACAACAGTATACCACTTCCTTACTAACTCTTTAAAAATGGGTGCTTTAGCTGTCATCTTTTTTTAGAGCTTCCTATTGTTTGGATTGGAGCCCTGGTGGTGCAGTGGTTAAAGCACTCGACAGCTAACTGAAAGGTCTAGGGTTCATACCTACCACCTGCCCCGGGGGAGAAAGATGTGGTAGTCTGCTTCTGTAAAGAATTACAGCCCTGGAAACCCTACGGGCAGTTCTACTTTGTCCTACAGGGTCACTATGAGTTGTGATCAACTACACAGCAGTGGGTTTGGTTTTTGGGTGTTGTTTGAATTTACAGGGATAGCTCATCTTCATTCATTCATTAAACCAGCATTTTTTTGGAACTTTATGTTTCAGAAACTGTGCTAGATGCTGGAAAAGTTTCAGAGAACAAAAAAAATACTATCTGTGCTTGTTAAGAGTTCACAGTTTCATTAGGAAATTATAGAGAAAGTAATTACATTGAGGGGTGGGGAAGGTGAAACAGAAACACAATGTGTAATGATAGCTCATAGGAAAGGAAGATTAATTTTATCTTGTAGGAGTTAGTACAATTTTCAAGAGGAAGAAATATTTCTTCCAATTTAAGAAGGAAGGATAAGAAATGTCCCTGGAAAAGCATGAGAATTCATTTCTGATTGTACAAGTAAGTCCCAAATTACAGAAGCTTATAATTTCTTCCATATTCAATGAAAATTTTGAAGCTCAGTACGCTTGGTTCTTAATGGACTCAAGAGAAATGGAACTGGAGAGTTTTGCTGAGGAAAGGAGAAAAGGGCTATGGTAAGCAGGCTGAGTATCTTGGTCTATATCCTTGTAGATAATGGACAGTGGAGGTAGGTTGAGTGTAGGGTGGTGAGTAAAATAGTAGGACTCTAGTTATTAAATGGGAGTCTCTGGGTGATGCAAATGGTTAAGCACACGACCAAGAGCTTAAATGTTATGAGTTCAAACCTAGCCAGAGGCACCTTAGAAAACAGGCCTGGAGAGCTGCTTCTAAAAGGTCATAGTCTTGAAAACCCTGTGGAGCAGTTCTACTCTGCACATATGGGGTCTCCATGAGTTGAAATTGACTCTATGGCAACTAACAACAACAAAAACCAAGTTTTCAAATTATTTCAACCAATCGTTTTTATATACAGTGACTAACACAGAATCAGCCATGAACATGAAGAGACAAAACAATATAGCCAAGAACCAGAAAAAGAAAAAAAACATAGAACCAGAAATAATTTTTAATGACTATGCTTATTATGTTGAAGGCAATAAAAGAACAAAACCAATTTTGACCAAAAAAATTATAAAAAATAACAGCAGATTTAGAATAGATCTCAATTCATGAATAGAAACTAAGATCTTGGTCAATCAGTTTAACAGCAGATTAGAATAGAGAAACAGTGAACAGGGAGCTAGGGACACAGAAAAAATCCACAAGGAAACATCATGGAGAGATCAAGCAGAGATCAGCTTCCTCTGTTTGTAAGACAGCTTACAAAATTCTTTTGAAGGTCTCTCTAAAGTTCTTCACCTAGAATGGTTACTTATCATATAAGTCATTCCTCAGTGCTATCACCTATCACCATCCATAATTCTAAGTCATATTTCACATTGTAGAGTAAACTCACGTAAAGGAGAGTTAGCAGTTTAACTCCATTTCTAACTATACAATGCTGGACACTTGAGAAAGGGAATTGGAAATTGATTCTATGTGGTCACTGTGGTCCTGGGGATATCACGTCCAATTCGGTGGGAAATACGCAACATCTTCTGAGATAAGCTTTACGGGCTTTGGGTATTTCTGATGTGAGTTGACTGTATGTGTAGTTGAAAGCTGACATTTAATTCCAATGATTTTGGATGGGACTCAGAAAATAATGCTTTTATCTACTCAATTTAAAGATATACACATATCCCAGGACCCAGAAAGTCATATCTGAATATTTAGCTCAAAAGGCATACATGTGTACGTTAGGAGGTACGTATGGGATATGTACAAGAATTTTCAGATTGTTCATAATGAGCCAAAACTTGAAACAGTCTTATTTCTCATCAGTGATATAATCGGTAAATAAATTGTGTCTGAATCTCTGGTCAAGGATATAGTCTGGTGATATAGATTTGGGATTCACCAAGTTATTTTCCAGTCACTCAAGTCTGGCTACCATGCCTCACACTACACTTTATGTCACTAAGTTCAACGGACATTTGTAACTCTCATTTTTACTTTCTCTCCCTGCAGCCTTAAAGATTGTTTTCATTCCTTCTTTCCTGACACACTCTCTTGGTTTCTGTGTCATCACATTCTCCTGGCTTTCTTTCTACCTCTATAATTGCTCCTTTTCTGGTTCCTTGGAGGGCTCATCTCTCTTTACTCAGATCTGACATGTTAAAGTCTCTCAGTAGTTTGTTCTAGTTCCCCTTTACTTCTCGTTCTATGCTTGCTCACTTTCTCTCTCTCTGTTTTGATTTCATCATTTCATCCATGTTCATGGTTTCACTATATTCTATACAGTGACAGGAATCAAATTAAACATTCAGCTCAGACCTCTTCTTTGTGCTTTAAACCTGTATTTTGCACTTATTTCTCAATATCTCCGTTTGGATGCTTCTAAGTCACCTTAACCTCCACATGTTAAAACCAACCTCATAATCTTATCCCTCTAACATGATCCTGCTTCAGTATTACCTATCATCTTCATGAATGGCACCACTATCTACAGAGATATATCAACCGAAATTTGACTGCTCTCTTTTTCCCATGATTTCTGTGTATAATCCCCTTCCCTTTTACCTCCTGAATATTTCTTAAAACTGCATTCTCTCCAATCCCAATGATACCACTCTAACCAAAGGCACCTTTTTTTTTTTTTTCTCATTGAATGAATGCACTGGTCTCTTACTGGTCTGCCCAAATTCACTGTTATCATTTTTCAACACACTAATGGGAATGCTATTCTAAAACTATTAATTCTATCACATTTCTCTCCTTTTTTATAACTCTTAAAGGGCTCCTTACTGTTTTAGATTTAAAACAATGACAATTACTAACACAGTCTATAGACCCTGCACAATCTGGCTCCTACACACTTTTATATCTTCATCTTTCACCACTTCCACCAAGCTCTCTTAAGTTCTTCCTTAAGTTCCTCAAAGGAGCCATGTACCTTATGGTTTCAGAAAATTTGTCCATTCTGTTTTTCTTGGCTTGGAATACTCATCTACCTCTCTTTCCTTCGTTAACTTATATTTGTCTAACTTTTAGTTCCCGTGTTACTTCTTCCAGATAACACCCCCATCACCCTTGACTACTATATAAGACCCACTCGTTACATAAACAGACAGCATATCTGTACTTTTACTTAGTAATACTTATCAAAGTTTTTAATTATATATAATTATATATACTTTCTTGATGAATACATGTCTTCCCTGTTAGATTATGAGCTCCATGAATAAAGGGTACAGTCCTCTTTTTCTCATGAATAAGTACCTGTCCCATAGTAGGCATGCAATATTTTTGAATAAATAATATATAAATGAGTTAACATATGAATCAGAGATCACAAAATAGTGAACTTCAAATGTGTTTTGTCTGGATTACACAATGTTTAAAACCTCTCTGAACTGGCTGACAGCATTTAAACCTGATGTGATTTCACATGAAATCTACATTTCAAGCTTCTCTTATAAAACAGGAAGGATGCATATCATAGGGCACACATTCACCTGTGGCAATCATTAGCCATATCTTAGGAGTAGCTTCTCATCTCAACGCTCCACAGTGTCCTCCCTCTTTTTATGTCCTACTACTCTGGGATTTGGGTTTGCCTTTATTGCTGCAAGTGGTTGCATGAGAAGACATCACTATAAAAGACTGAGTATAGGGAGAAGAGACCTGGAAGTGAGCGCTGAGGAAGACTACTAGTAAAGTGATAAGTGGAAAATTAGAAGCTCCAAAAGAAGCTTGAGGAGTACTTAGTGAGATCCAAACAAAACTAGGAGAATGTCATTCACTGAAACCATGAGAAAAAAGGATTTTAAGGAAAGAGTATTAATAATAAAATAACCATCTCATCTTACCTTCTTCATATCTTCATACATCATGAATAGTATATTGAAATTATGTTTGTGCTCATACCAGCCTCTGATGTGATCAAACCAAAGGCTTCCCATGACTGTGGAAAAATTAGTAAGTGACAAAGTAAAGATATTGCACTTTTTATGAACAATGCACTATACTTTTTCTTTTCTGTTTTGGA